GGACACCCTCCCACTGCTCCCCCTCAGCACAGGGTCCTCAGTCTCCAACTGGACCCACAGGGACACCCTCCCACTGCTCCCCTTGACACACGGCCCTCATTCTCCATCTAGACCCACAAGGACACCCTCCCCCTGCTCCTCTTGCCACACAGTCCTCAGTGTCCAGCCCACACTCTCTTCATCTAGCCTCCTCCTCCTTCCTACTTTCCAGCTGTAATTTTAAGGTCACCAAGGGTAAACCAGCAACGCTGTCTTGAAATGCAGTACGGCATTAGTCCGGAATACTTTTACTTAGATATATTTAGGGTTAATGTGCTTGCTTAGGATGTTTGGAGGTGGAAACCTATGCGTAGGAATATTGTTGAGCTGATAAACTTTGGTAGAATTCTCAGGGTGATTTTCTTTCAATAAGTGTTCCACACCACCTTTCCTGAGGGAAGTGAAAGTGAAGTTCATTCCTAGAACACGGAGCAGCTGATGCAAAGTTACATATATGTTGGGGAATTTTGCAAGGGCTGAGACACTCTATGGCCAGGTACTCTTTGAATCAGTACTTACATTGTGCTTTGTGAGGTTTGAAATGTTGGTCGCTATTGCTTGCAGCCAGTCCATGCAATCTTCAGCAGAGAGGCACTGGATGACGCCACTGCAGACCCCGTCCACAGCAGTGACTTGAAAGGCGTGCTGCCTGCGGACATGTCAGAACAAACCAGATCAAAACCACGTCGCTTATCCATTTGCAATTTACAAAAGTATCTGTTGTAAAGCTCTTCTTTCAAACAATATAAATATCAGCCTCCAAATTCATAGCTGGTTACTTGCCTTTATAAATATTTCATTAAGTTGAACAATAAAGATAGACCTAGTTAACACAGAATTTCAAATTAGTAGAAACCATCCTTAGACTCAGATAACTATGGAGAACCTTTAACTTATAAAAACATCCTATGTAAATACAGGAGAATCTAAAAATTTGTAGAAGCATTCTTGTCCCATATTTCTATCAAATTATACATAGTTTATTTATTATTTGGCTACCATCAGCTCCTCCTAACATGTGTGGATACATTTTCTGACTTACAACAGAGACATCATGAACATGGGCAAACTAGTATTAAACATGTTGTAAAAAAATCAATAGACGTACGTGCTCTGTGGGTCTAATGATCATGGTCTTAGTTTTTTAAGAGTGCTGTGAATTTCAGTAGCACCATCTTTTAAAAAATGAAATGATAAGCTTAAATATCCCTTTGGTCATTTTTGATGTTATTTTTTGTTAGAAAAAATTAAGGGGAACTTAATCCTAAATTGTTCACAAAAGTGCTATACGATTTAAAGCTGCTTTCTACAGCTTGAATAATTCGCTATTTTTTTTCTTTTGTATCAAGTTCTTTCAGTGTTTAGATATAAGCTTAATGGAAAGGAATAGATAAAATCCCCAAATGAATGGAAGCAAGCCACATGCCTTGTGCTTCACACAAAATTCCTCTGTTGTGGAACACTTCAAATAGCTTCAAACTGTATTTCAATCCCAGTCAATCATGAAGCAATAGAAAACTTGTAAAGTTCAGTATTCAAAATGCTGGGTAAATTGTATAAAGTTATGTGTTTTCTCCAAATGTGCATCTTTCCTGGCTCTTCTGAGTTTTGTAATGAGGTATTTGTGGATATTAGATATAATTTCACTTCCCCAAACAAAGGCAGACCCACAGGGCGAGTAAGGCTCAGGGTCATCACCAGGCCTCTGTCACTCTGCCTTCCTGACTCAGAGCTGAGTGCACAAAGAAGTTCTGGTATCCACGAATGTTATTATAATAATGATCATTATAATATGTTAAGTGTTATTAACATTTTTAGAGAAACTGCCTCTCACGTCCTTGACACAGCACTTTCTATTGAAAACACAGAAGTGCTCAGACACTTTTTTTTGTTTTCTCTACAAGTGCACATTAAAAGAATTTATGAAGTATAACTATTGCCTATCTCTTTGAAATAGAGTTCTTCTGAATTTGCAACAAGAAAAAAATACTTAAACATGAAAAAAGATTATAACTTCACATTACATTTTTAACTTTCATTTTTATGTCTAATAGTGAGTAAGACATTTAAAATATCCAGACAGAAGCTCAATCATCCATGGAAATGAGAAATAAATTGAGGCTAGTAATATACAATTCTTTCTACTCTCTGATTATCATAGCTATTGCTTCACATACCATCAATTAAAGCATGTCTTGAACATATTTGTACTCTCTGCTTTAAATGAATTATAGAAGCCAGATATTTTTAGCTGATTAAAGTCAATACACTTAGAAGAAATTCTCAATCTATGTAATCGTGTATGTTTCACAGTCCCTAGGTAGAATAATGCTGAGAGAGTAATTTTTATAAACTTAGGCTCATTATGTTAGTATATAGCACTTTGTACATTCTGTGTCAACTCTGCCAAATTGATAGAAACCCTTTAATGAGTATTAGTGAAATGCCTTAACAGTTCCTCTGGTTATGTATGACCTCTTAAAAACAGGCACATCATAAATATTACCGTTATCAGAATTATATTTCTCCTCTGCTACTGAGTAAAGGAAAGGATTGGCAAATTAGTCCACTCACTTGTGCCTCAAAAAAAATGAGAATAAATACTTTACAAATTTAGCAAGTATTTTGCTGAGTAATCAGTGGATACAAATATTTTTACATAAGGCTGAAGCTATATGGGTAAGTTTCTTTTGAATAATTCATTAACATGTAGCTTTGATTGTAATATTTCAGTGTGTGGGAGGAATATTTCCACATAGACTTATGGTTTCATTGAGCACTTAGGAAGAAATTTTGTTTTCATTTTTAGTTTTGGAAAATGTAATTCTTTTGACTCAAGATAAACAACAATAGTCAGATTTTTTTGTCTCATCTTATATAATCATATGCTTTATGAAACTACTAGGCTCCATTATCTCACAACTTAGTACTGTATGATATTAAACTTTAATAATGTTTATAAGTAGTCTTTAAAATATTCAGACAAAATTATGAGTCTAAGTTTTATGTGTAAATATATGTGCTAAAAGATAGTTACATAACTAGATAATATAAAGTTTTGAGTTCAAGTTGATTTTTTCACCTCTTCATAACTATTTTTTATAATTTTCTAAGCATTCTTGATCATCGTTTTGGCAATAAAAATTATTCTCAAATGTTTCTGAATTTCAAAGTACGTTTATTCATTTGAATACACATTTAATCTTCCGTATGTGAACAATGTACTGCTCGCTATAAAAAATCATGAATAATTTTCAGTCCAACATGTATACACATAAATATGCATATATTCAGATTAATATAGTTAATAATGCATGATGCAATTCATTGTTGATTTTCACCACATGCAGGCATGGGGGAAGATGTTAAATTCGTGAGGGTGAATTGGAGAAGACAGGCAGAGAATAATGTTCTGCCCGAGAAACAAGCACTACTGAGCCTAGTATCAATCTCTCTCTCCCTTTCCCTCCCTCTCTCTCTCTCCCTCTCTCTCCCTCTCTCTCTCTCCCGGCCGCATCGAGGTGCTCCCGAGCGGAGAGCGCATGGAGATCTGCCTGGATAATGCTTCTGCCTTCCAAGGAGCTGTCATCTCCCCCCACTATGATTCCCTGCTGGTCAAAGTCATCGCCCATGGTAAAGACCACCCCATGGCCACCACCAAAATGAGCAGAGCCCTTGCTGAGTTCCGCTGTCAGAGGTATGAAGGTGAGAGGCTATGGTGCCCACCCTATTTGCCTTGGCCCTTTGAAGGTCCCATGGTCATTCACATCCCTGCTGGGGGCTGGAGCGTGGCTCTACCTCAGTCTACCCTGCTTTGTCCTTGTCAACCCTCTGGTTCCTTCAGCCATCCCTGCATGTTAGCTGCTCCTGGCTGCCCCTCACCCACTCGCTCCTCCGCAGCCCTGGAGTTGGCGGGCCCAGAGCTCTTCCTCAGACCCTGTGCCCTGGCCCAGGGGTCTTCTGTCCACAGTGTTGTTCACGGGAAGCCCACACTCTTTCCTGCCCCTTCGGGCTTAGGATCTTATGGAGAGGCCCCACTTCTGGAAATCCTGACCTCACAGGTTTGGGTCAAGCCCCCACAGTTTGTATTTTGAACAAGTTCCATAGGTAATTTCTTATTTTGGGAAAACGTGGCCGCCCCAAGCCAGAGCTCAGGCCCTGTGTGGGTAGGGGCACTTCGTGTATGTAGTCAGACTGTCCTGCCAGACCTTGCCGCCTCCTCACCCTAGCCTGGTATGTGCATGGTGTCGGGGACTTTCGGGATAGCCAAGGGGTGTGGCCTGTAACTTGGCTGCCTTCATCTGGCCACCACGGTCGCCCTGCCAGGCGAGGACTGTGGCTGCCCATTGCGTCTTATCTGGGCTCTGCTACTCGTGTCTAGGGCTAGAGAGGAATTCACAGTGACAAAATACCACCTTTTTCTTAGAACCAGTACCTGCCCGTGTATTTGGTGGGGCCACCCTCAGAATGGCAGGGCAGGAAGAGCTGAGGGGATAGGACCCTTGGCTGCTGGGGGAGCTCCTCTCTCCGCCTCTGCTGAGCTCTGTAGGACGAGCTGCTCTGGTGGCCAGCTGACGGCCTCTTCCTCTCCGCCTGGCCATCCTCCCTGCAGCTGCTTTGAGCTCCTGGCTGTGTGGAGGCTTGGCTGGGCGGGGTTTGGGCACGTGGATAGTGTTGTCCCCTCAGGCCCCATGATCATTCCTGTCATCTTTCCAGACAGCTCTGGCTGTCCCAGTGCAGGGACCTTTCATATGGTTTGGAGAGGCTGGAATGCCACACCCGTGAGGGATCAGCCCGGAGAAGGAGACTGGTTTAGAGTGAGGTGGGCTTTGGATGCCAGGTGGGGAGCCATGGCTGATCCCCATGTCCAGCTCTGTGTGGGCTGAGTGGTCCTGTTAACACAGCGAGGACAGGTCTACAGAACTCATGGACCAGGAGGTGATGGGGATGGAAATGAATTAAAATGCCACCCTGGTACCATAAAGGAATTGCTAACGGCGTCAGGAAGGGTGTGCTTCAAGATGTGCTTCTTAAACGTGTTTATGAGAGTGAGGATGGAGTTAAAATTACTCCAGCGTGTCAGACCGAAGCAGTGAGGTACCTTAGTTGAGGGAGACAAAGGGAAGCACGAATTTTACACAGGAGATAACTCATCCAAAAATAAACATTAGAGGTACATAAGTCATGGCATGCCCAGAGCTTAGGGGTTGTCTGGCATGTGGCCTGTGCACACGCAGAAGGGGCAGTTTGTGCAGTTGTGGCCGGTCGTAAAGTTGCACCCACGCCAGGCGTGATCGGGAAGCACTTTACCAATCCTGGTACAACACGTCTATCTAACCCAGCTGCCAGTGAGAGCTGACAGAACTATGTAAGCATTGGTATAAAAGAAACACATTTATAGTTTAGAAATATCTCTTTCTTGTAGTTAAGAAGAAAGAAAAAAGTGAGAGATGTGAGAAAGCTGTTGAAATACACAAGGTGACATAGAGACGCCTCTGTCTGGCAGGGTGACCCGTGGGTATGGGCAAGAACATTGACTCGGATGGTGTTGAAAAGATGCCAGTTATATGGTTCAGTTACCAACCAGTGGGGCGCTGGAGGAAAGAAGAAAGAGGAAGAGGCCTCTCAGGTGCGTGGGGCAGCGTTTCA